TCCAACCACCTCTCAAGTCATTTTTCCAGGGCCAAATCCAAGCAGATGGCCCGGGAAGCTCCTGCTGTGCCCCCAGGGCTTGTCCCTCTGTCCATCCCTCTGTCCATCCCTCTGTCCATCCCTCTGCCTCCAGCCCCTCTTCCTCCAGGGAGCTGGAGATGCTCAGCATGACAGGAGGAGAGGACATCACCCCACACAGCCCTTTCCTCCTCCTCCTGCCTCTGGTGAGGCTCTTGGCCAGCCCTGGGCTCCTGGGACCCCCAAGTGTGAGGCTTTGGCTGAGCTCATGCCCATCCCCTGCTCCAGAGGCTCTGGATGCAGCTGGCCTGGGGTGGAGCTGCCTTTCCCACCGGGATTGGGGGCACCTGAAACGAGCAGGTGGTCCAGACACCCCCCACCCCCCTCCCCAAGCCCTCCTCTCCTTGCTCTCAGCACCAGGGAAGGGCAGGGAACCAGTGGTGAGGAGCAGGGTGGTTGGATCAGCTCAGGGGCCAGGGAGGAGCAGCTGCCAAGTTCATGCTCCAAGCAATTAACAAGTGCATCCCCAAAGAGCCACTAATTACAAAAAGCAACGAGGGTGACACTGACGAGAGCCAAAAACAACCACCACGGGGGTGAGAAGATCAGCCAGGTCCTCTGGGCACCCCGACTTGACCTCACCCCACTGCCTTTGGGTGGCATCCAGCCCAAATCCTGCTTGGGGGGGGGGGGGGGTGGTTTGGAGCACTTGTGAGCTGAAAAAAAAACCCCAGGGTTTTGGGTCTGGTGGCGGGTGGATCCCAGAGGAGGAAGCACCCGGGGTGGAGAGGAGACCTGTGGCAAAGCCAAGGGAAGAGCAAACAAGCTGAAGGAGGCACCTCCCCTGGCACCGACCTGCCCCTGGCACAGCTCAGGCTGCAATTTGAGGGCAGGAGCAGAAGCAGGAGGCAGTTCCCAGTCCTTCCCCACACCCTCTTCAGGGCTGGGAGGGAGAGACGTGTCCAAACGGGCAGCTCTGGGGGAGGACCAGGGCAGGGGAGAAGGACCAACATCCCCTGCCAAGAGCTGCGTGGAAGAGACAAGGGAAAGTTAAGCTGGAGCAAGAGCCTGCAGAGCCAAGTGATATGGAAACCATATGTGAGGGATTTGGGAGACGTGAGAGAGCTGGGCAGGCAGGAGAGGGACGTGGGGAAGGTTGGGAGGGAGTTGGGAGACTAATTCAGCTCTCCCCCAAAACCTCCAGCCTGGATTTTGGCTCCCAAAGAAAACATGAGATGCATGTGGGAGAGGGGGGTCCAGGTCCGGCCATAAATCACCCCCTGAGGACAAGTCAGGGATGAACCTGAAGGGTTGGATTGAGAAACTTCCACCCTGGGTCAGGCCCTGGCTGTGTCTTCCCTCCCCATGGGGTGGTTTGGGGGGGTCTTTGCTCCCCCAAATCCCCCACCCAGATGCTATTAACCTCTTCGGAGGGGCTTAACCCCCAACCGAGGTGCTGCCCTCTGCTCACCCCACACTGCTGGGGGGGCAGGGGGTCCAAGCTGTGGTGATGCCAGAGGGGAGGATGAGGTGCCAGAGAGATAGACATGATGCCAGAGGCAAGGGGGAGATGCCAGGGGCATGGGGGAGATGCCAGCAGGGGGGTGGGATGGCAGCAGG